CATCTGCTTGAACACATGTGTGCCTGTCGTGTGGCAAGCAACATACACTCTCAGATCCCTTGACCTCATTGCTCAACTGCCATCAAATGTATTTCTGGGAGTGGTCAGGGATAAAAGGGTTCATTCAGCATGACTGCCAGGGTCACTGGGGCAGGATTAGAATAAGAAAGCTGGCTTTGTGGTAAAGGGACATCCATGGCCTCAAGGGCCCTGGAGGCCACCTGATAAGGGGTTGGAGGTACAGAGCCTAAGCAAGAGCTCCAGTCAAACCCATGGTTTTGTCCTTCTCTGGGAACCTCTTTCTGCTGGCTAATCATGTGTTGGGGGGGGGGGCTGCCATCAATGCCCTGTCTCTGTGGCAGTTATTTCCTCTGTGACCTCTCGCTAATCCATTCAGTGGCCCCATCTGAACCTTTTTTTTTTTTTTCAGCTCCTGCAACTTAAGCCAGCTTGCAGGAGAACTGCAAATGAACTGGGCTTCAGGGTCAACCCTATCAAGCTGGCTTCTTCAGGGGGCTTCAGGGAAGACCCCAGGCTTGAGAGAAGGGGACCATCAGGGGAGACACTTGGGGAAAGCAAGCAGGAAAATCCTCTGGGCTCAGAAGTGGCTCTCTTTCCAGGAGCCTGGATTGGGAAGGAGCCAGTTTAGAGAGGCCACTGCCTTCCCTGTGGGGGTCTGGATCTCAGAAGCAGCCCTATGCTTCTTCCAGCAAATTCTGATTGCCAGTTAAGAGACAGCTGTCGAATGTCTACTCCGTATCAGACATTGTAAAGAGTCTCCACTTCGGTTTCATTCCCACAGTTGTCCCTGGAGTTCAAGATTACCATCCTTGTTTTACAAATGAGGAAACTGAGGCTGAGAGCTAATGTACTTGGCCCCAGTCACAAAGTCAGCAAGGTTCGAAGCCAGGTCTCTCTGACTCCAAATCCAGGGTCCTGTACCCAGCAGGCTATCTAAGTTGCTCTGTGTGCTGGTTGTAGCACATTTAGAATTGATCCCTGAGGGCACCTCCCTGGGGTCAGGAAGGGACAAAGAGTGAGACTATCAAAGCATAACCTGAAAAAAGAAGAGCCTGTGGAACAGCATAAAGCCAGGACCAAAGGACACATTACTTGTGCAAAATTACAAATATCAGGGCAATAGATGAGAAATAAACAGAACCACGTATAAAAATTTACCAAGTGATAAAACTTTCCAAACACATTAAAGTAAGTGTTTCTTAATAAGTGTTGGCATAACTGGATAGGAAAAATATCTGGATGGAGTAAAGGGCCAGATGACTTCTTCAATCACAGAAAAACTGGTAGGAAATAGAAGTGCATATTTGTAAGATCTAAAAAGGGATGAAGACTGGGGCACCTGGCTGGCTCAGTCGGAAGAGTGTGAGACTCTTGGTCTAAGGGTCGTGAGTTTGAGCCCCAAAATTGTTTAAGTAAATAAATAAGTAAATAACATTTTAAAAAATTGTTAAATAAAGAGGGTTGAAGCCTGTCTTGAGTCCAAAGCAAAAGAAGGAATCATGAAGGAAAAGCTCAGCAGATTCAACTGTCGAAAAGTAAGACATTTTGTACCACGATAGTACACTATGACAACAGACTCATATTTAGATAACTTTAAAATCTAATACTTAGGAAAACCATTAAGATCCCTAGCATATGAAAAGATAATTCCCTCAAGCAGAAGTGGAAATAGGAAACAAAGCATATGGAATGTCTGGGGGTTGAAGTGATGACGTGCAGTTTTCCTGCCTGCTACAACTTCTGAGATCCATGGGGAAGAAGTCCAGGGTGGGGTGAGGATGGATGGCATGCTACTCTCCTGCTTTAGCAGGACAGACAAATTCCCACAAGAGGGAAGGGGGAGAGAGATAAACCTCCACAGGACTGGGGTCACCTGTTTTCTCCACTTCCACCTCCCACAAAAGGCATCCTGACTATTTAGTTGAGGGGTGACCACATCAGACCAACAGGTTAAGGTCATGACTTCTAGTTCTTGGGTTTTTGTCTTTTTTACGATTTTATTTATTTATTCATGAGAGACACACAGAGAGAGGCAGAGACATAGGCAGAGGAAGAAGCAGGGTCCTGGAGGGGAGCCCAGTGTGGGACTAGATCCTGGATCCCAGGATCACGTCCTGAGCCAAAGGCAGATGCTCAACCCCTGAGCCACCCAGACATCCCTAGTTCTTGGGGTTTAATTAACTTCGGGCTGGGTGAAAGCTAGTCTATGTGCTGAAGACCCAGGCAGCAGAGGGAACAATGGGTACAATGCCATTCCTAAAGCCTGGGGGGAAGTTCCAACAGGTTCCAGTTTGAAACTGGGTGATCACTGCTGTTCCCTTGACCAAGGAAAGAAAGGAGGACCTACTGAGGCCAGCTTCTCATTCCATCAACCTCTGAAAGAGGAACACCTTGCAGGGATGGACAGTTGTCATGAACCCTACCCCACTGACAACAGTTTGACTGGTCAGGGCTGTCTATTTCTGTATAAGGTGGTTGGGGGCTACTTCAACCCCCAAATATTCAGTCCTAAATGCACCAAGTTCCCCAATCCCCAAGTCCTATCTTTAAGCAGGCCCACAGGAAGAGGCAAGGGGAAAACCCTTCCAAGTTCTGAATAACCTTGGATCCTGAAGTTGCACACTCCTTGGTGAAGCTTCATATCTACTCTCCAGTTGGCATACTGGGGAATGGTCCAGGGGCAGCTTCACGAAGTAGGGGCAAGAAACACAGAGGCACTGGATCTCTGCCAGAGCTCAAGCCCTGCTCAGGAGCAGCTCAGCTCTCCTTAAACACAAATCACCCATAGAAAGGAAGGTGACAGAAATGGGCTGCTTCTTCCTTAAAAATAAATAAATAAATAAATAAATAAATAAATAAATAAATAAATAGCTATATATATATATATATATATATATATATATGGCCATATATATATACATATATATGGCCATATATATATATTGGGCAGTCCAGGTGGCTCAGCGGTTTAGTACCACCTTTAGCCCAGGGCCTGATCCTGGAGACCCGGGATTGAGTCCCACATCGGGCTCCTTGCGTGGAACCTGCTTCTCCCTTTGCCTGTGTCTCTGCCTCTCTCTCTCTCTCTTTCTCTCTGTCTCTCATGAATAAATAAATAAATAATATTTTTAAAATTAAAAAAAATAATATTTGTTTATTTATTATTTTAGAGAGAGAGTGCATGCAAGTAGGTGGAAGAACAGAGAGAGAGGGACAAGCAGACTCCTCACTGAGCATGGAGCCTGATGTGGGGCTGGATCCCACGACCTCAAGCTCATAACCTGAACCAAAACCAAGAGTCAGACACTTAACCAACTGGGCCACTCATGAGCCCCCACAAATGGGCTTCTAATGCCACATGACAGATGGGGAATAGACATAACGCTGAACTCACTGTAAGAAAAAATGGTTTGCCTGGAGTACTTTGGTAGTTTCTTTCCTAGAATTTATTTTGTCTGTCTGGCATGGTTTCTGGGTGGGCCCTTCTAGAAGCAGGGAGATGCTCTCTGTGACACTAGGGACCTCCCTGTGGGATGTGGGGAACACAGAAAATGGATTTCCCAGACCACCAGGGAATATTAGTTGCTACATGTTCTCTCCTCTCTCTGCTCCAAATTCTTCCTACTAAAAGTTTTCCTCCATTCACCCAAATAGTTCCTTTTCAAATGTAAACACACAGAGAAAATTAATCAAATGAGAAAGACACAGAGGGAAAAGAAACGATACACTTTGTTCTAGGTTCTGATTCTAAATCTGGCAGGAGGTGTGAAGGGCTGGCAGCCTGCTGGTCGCGGTACGGTGGCAGCAGACGGCCCCTCCTGCCTCAGGGCAGCAGGCCAGCAGCTGCTGTGCTCTTAGGAACTGGAGGGAGAGTGGGTGTCCCGTGGGAGCAGAGGGAGAGATGCGCCACCCCACTGGGACAGGAGCCGGTGGATGTTCCCCAAACCACAGCCAAAACTCCCGCTAAGGTGGATGACACCCCCCAAGCCCTGCCTCTGGCCTGCCATGACTTCTCAGCTTTCAGGACCACCTGGGCACCAGCCTTTGGTAGGTTCCTCACACTAAATTTGTCTGAAGCCCAAGCTGTCAGTTTTTTTTTTTTTTTTTTTTTTTGCCAACACCCCACTGCCTACAATAGGATAAGGTCTGGTCCAAGCTACTTCCTCAGCTTCTTCTCCTCCAACCCAGCAGGGCTCTTAAAGTTGCACACACTTCATGGCACAATCATGCTTACATCACTGCAGGACCACAGCACTCACCACTTCCCCTGTGCTGGGACATCCCTGGCCTCCTCTCCTCTGCATCGGGGTGGAATGGAGAGGGAAATATACGTAAGCGCTTAGCACCGGTACTAAGCAACAAAGAAACTGTTTCCTTGCTGAAGGTCAAATGTCCACCAACAGATTCCGAAGTTGGCATTCCCAACACCATTCCGCACATCTATAGACTCCAGGCGTTGCAAACAATCACACACTATTTCACAGAACTCTCTCACCCCTTCCGCAAAGTTAGAGTCAGCTTTCAAAAGAGCTCAAACTGTGAGTCACCCTCCAAGGACAGCAGAGGTTTGACTTCAGTGGTGGCCAGGGATCTTTGAAGGTGGAGGTAAAGAAGGAGACGGGATGTTAACCTAAGCCCTTCCCCCACCTCCCCAGTCCGGGCTGCGGTCTCCCCAGGCATACGGGAAATGTCCCAGGCTTCCAATACCTATTGTGCAATTTCTACATGGTACAGACCCAGCTCTGGTGAGGCCGAGTTGGGAGGAGGCAGGGAAGGATCTCTCAGGGGAGCCCACCGCCTACTCCTGCAACCTGGAGAGCCGTGGAGAGCCCTGTCGATCAGTTTCAGAGATGCACTAAGCCACGCCTCCCCCCAACGTCACCGTCTCAGGAGTGCGGAGCTAGGGAAGCCCACGCAAGCAGGGAGACTGATTGTGGGGAGGGCTGGAAGGAAGTGGGGGGATTTAACTGCTCACGTACCTGATCAAACAGGACTTTCCAGTGCTGGTAGAGAGGGAGGCCATGCAGAAGAAAAGGAAGAGGAGAGAGAGAAAGAGAGAGAGAGAGAGAGAAACACACACTTATCACCAAGGTCTCTCTAGCCCCCTGATATTTCTGGCATAGCCTCCCATCTGCTCCCCAGACTCAGGAACCCGCAAGACACCAGGGGAAACCTGGGAAGAGCTCCCCAAATGAGGCTGCACTAAGCAAAGAGAGGGAACTGAGGTGGGGGGGGGTTTGTCCCTCTCTTGGAGACAGGCGGGAGGAGGCATAAGCTGAAGGAGGGGGATTCTCAACAATTACTAAATAAAGGCGTCCAACTCTGTCCAAGGGCCTCTAATAAGTTCTGCCTAAAGCTTGTGTCCATGTCTACTCGCACACCGGGGAGCGCACCCCCTGCTGCAATAGCCTCAGCTCTCGGGGGCCAGAGACCCCTACTGTGGACAACTCAGCCCTGAATAAACACTAACCTTTGCCTGCGGTTTGGGAGGAGGGGTCTCCGGAATGCCCCGAAATCTAACCGGTCTCTTCCAAGGCTGGATCTAAGTGCCCCATGCATGAGAGGGGTGGGTGCTGGGGCTTGGGGCCAGAAGCAGGTGAGGGGTTTAACCCAGGCGGCCAAAGGGGAGGGAAGAGGTGAAGCTCCCCCGAGGCTCCTTCGCTGCGGGTTAGGGTCCTGGCTTCACTCCATTTCCCTACCCTGACAGAGGGCTACGGCAGGGCAGAGAGTCTCCAGGCTGTCGCCTCTGCTTGCAGGTTAACCTCAGGAGCGAGTAGCCGAAGCAAGTGCAGCTCCCAGGGCTCCCCGGGCGGAGGGAAGGAGACTCCAGCGGCAGACGGCAGGGAAGCCCTCTGGGGCAGCCCCTCCCCACCCTCGCCCCGCGGACGGTCGCCGGCACTAGACCCGGCCCGGGACTCCCGGGCTCTTTTCTGGAAGCAGCACCGCTCCCGGCACTCTCCGTCCTCCGGCCGGTTCGGGCCGGGCGAGCGGCTGCCTTCATCCGCGTCGCGCCGGGGCCGGGGCGGTTCGGGCGGGCCGGGGCCGGGAGGTGGCTCATTCGGAGGGGAGGAAGGCGGTGGCCAGACCGGCCGGCGCGGCCAGGCACCGCGGACTCTGCGGCGCTCGCTGCTTCCCCGGGCCCCGGGGGCCGCAGGTCGCGAGTGGGAGGGGAGGGGAGTCCCTGCTGCGACGCGGCCGCCTCTGCGGGAAAACGCCGTGTCCCGGGCACTGCACCAGCCGCGGGGAGAGGGCTCCGCGGCCGACCGGTCCCCTGCGCAGCGGCCGGGCTGCGTCCCGCGGGGAAGCCGCCGAGCCCGAGCCCGAGCCCGAGCCGAGCCGAGCCCGAGCCCGAGCGGGGGTGGCGCGCGTCTGGGGGACTCCGGTCCCTCCGCCCCCTCCCGCCCGCGGGGACCCGGCCAATCCGGGGCGCTCCCGCGTCACCTTGAAACCTCCAAGTTGCCCCGCGGGGGCGAGACGGGGGCGAGACGGGGGCGAGACGGGGGCAGCTCCCCTCCGGGCCCCCCAGAAAGTTTGCCCGGGCCGGGGAAGGGGCACTCACGTCCTCCGGCGCCGCGGGCGGCCGCTGCTGGGCCTCGGGTTCCAGCTCCTCGATGCGCTCCGCCTCGGCGCAGGCGGCCACCGCGGGGCCCGGGCTGGGGTGCTCGCCCATGCCGGCGCGAGCTCCGGGGCGGGCGGGCGGCTGCGGGGCTCGTCCCGGGGCGCCGGGCTAACTTCGCGCCGCGCCGGCCGCGCCGCTCCGGGGGCTCTGAGCGCGCCGCGCCGCCGCCGCCGCCGCCGCCGCCGCCGCCGCCGCCTCCGCGCCAGCCCATCCGCCCGCGCCCGCGCCCGCGCCCGCCCCCATGGCCCCGGCCCCCGCGCCGCCGCCTCGCCGCCTCGCCGCCTCGCCGCCGCGGGACGCCCAGCCTCCCGCCGCCAAACTTCTCCGCGCCGCGGCCGCGCCGGCCCCCGCCTCCGCCTCCGCCTCCTCCGCCTCCGCCCCGGCCCCCGCGCCGGCTCCCGGGCGAGGCCGCCCTTGGGCTGGCCCCGGCCCCGCGCTCCCCGCGCTCCCGCGCTCCCCGCGCTCCCTTCCCGCTCCCCGCGGCCCCCGCTCTGCGCGCGAGTCTCCTCCTCCCCGCGGACTCCTCGGGCGCGGGCGCGGGCGGGGCGGGGCGGGGCGGGGCTGCTCCCGGGGACCGCCGTCCCCAGCCCCCGGGCGCCACCGCGGGAGCCAGCTCGGTCCGGGCGGCGCGGCCCGGGGAGGGGCGGGGGCGGGGGCCGGGCTGCGGCGGGGCCGGCGGGCGAGTGGCCGCACCGCCCGGGGAGTGCCGCGCTCCCTTCGGCCTCCATCCCGGGCCGGGACGGTCTCGGGGCCTGGATGGGGCCGTGCCCACCCCCCAAGACCCACCGGGTTAACGACCACTCGGAGACTGCAGAGGCGTGAAGGAGGCAGGGGCGAGGCTTTCAGTACGTTGGCGATGTCGGGGTTAACTGGGAGTGAATTGGGGGCGGGATGCTGGGAGGACTGGACCCTGAACACCCTTCAGTCTCGCTTCCCCTCCCTTTGGTCTCAGATTCTGGGAGGTCCAGAGACGCCCAGTAATTCGGGGATGGGAGAAGTCAGAGATGGCCGGCGGGGACCCCAAATCTTCAATCTCGTCCTCCCTACAAGGGAGCCCTGTGACAGTGCCCTGGCTGCGTTTGACCTGGTTGACAGAGGCAAGCCCAGAAAACTGCCCAACGGGGAGAGGGGAGGTAAAGAAACTAAAGCAAGTAGTAGTGAAGTCAGACCAGAGGAACAGGGGATCTTTTTAAAAAGGGGTGTTGTTTCCCTGCAGGAAAGTGCTCCCAGGAGACTGCCTCCCAGAAGCAGAGGCTCTGCCTGCAAACTGGTCCAGTGGTCAACTGGGACAGATGCCATCTCTCTCTCCCAAGAGGCCCAGGGACTCACTCCTGGTCAGTCAGTCCCCTTCCAGTCCTCTTCCCATCACCCAACACCCACCTATTCACTGGTCTTTGCTCCCCCCCCCACCCTCCTGTCAGAAAGGGACACTCTTCCATCGGTGAAAGTTGCATTTAATGCTCACATCATCATAAAGCAGACACACAACCCCAACCCCAGAATCCAACCTGTGACCATCTCACCCGATAATGACTATTCCCCTTAAACACAGAGGAGGAAATTAACTCCACTCTAATTAGGTGAGTTTGCTACAGACACCAATTTTCATCTCGGTTTCAGAAAGTGTGATCATTTCAACTATTTTTGTTTCTCACCACCCTCCCCCATCCCTACTCTACTAACAAGTCAAGATCCTGCCAAGATTTCCTTGTAAATAAAACTGTCTGCCTAGGGTGTGATTTTGAAAACAGCCTTCAGGGGGACAGAAGAGAGGCCTCCTTCTCTGGGGAAAGAAGCCCAGAAGGACAAAAGGAAGCATGGGGCTCTGAGGTCAATATCACTGCCTCCTCCCCACCCTCTGGATATCATTTACATGACCTGTCTGGGGGCTGGCTGTGTTAGACTCAGATCTCTGGGACTGGACAAGTCATCCAGGAAGCCTGGGGTGGGGTGAGGGGAACAAGGGCTTAGAGAGGCATTAGCCACTCTGCAGAGATGCCCAGCAGCCCTGGGCAGTGTTCTGACCCCAGGTCCCCTTCAGTTTCTTCAGCCCAGGGGCACCTCTCAACAGCAGCGCCAACTCTGTACTACCCTCAGGTAGAAGGGACCTCAGCAGGCTCCATCCTCTGAACATTTATTTTTTATTTTTATTTATTTTTAAGATATTATTTATTCATGAGAGACACACAGAGAGAGGCAGAGAGAGAAGTGGGCTCCACTGGGGGAGCCCAATGCAGGACTCCATCCTAGGACCCCAGGATCACGCCCTGAGCCAAAGGCAGACACTCAACCGCTGAGCCAGCCAGGTGCCCCGGTACTCTAAACTTTTACTGAGTTCCTACTGAGTGCCAGTGGCAGAGCTTCAGGAATCTAGAAATAAATCGGGTCTGGACCCTGCCCTCCAGAAAGTGTTTATCTGGAGGTGACAGTCAGGGAAGGCCAAAGGAGTATAGAAAGCCAAAGGACGGGTTTCTTGAGGGTCTAAGAAGACTTGCTAAAGAAAATGTCCTCAGAACAAAGCAAAATGAGAAACCTGAAGAGAAGGCATTCTAGGCAGGGAGAACAGCCCAGGCACAGGCTGGGCCTGTGAAGCAATGTAGTATGGCAGGGGAACTATAAGGAACCTGGCCTGGCTGGCCATGAGGGCAGGGTGCTTTCTGTGAGGAGCCCAGGCTGGAAGGGACAGTGCAGAGGGCTGTGGGTTTCCTGAGAAAGGAGCTTAGACTTTACCTAAGGTCTGTGGGGAGGCACAGAAGGACTGTGATCAGCAGAGTAATAATTTAAAAGATCTTTCTGGGGGTTCTTGGGTGGCTCAGTCAATTAGGCATCTGACTTGATTTTTGGCTCAGGTCATGATTTCAGGCGGGTGAGATCCAGCCCCACGTTGGGCTCCATGGTGGGCATGGTATCTGCTTAAGATTCTCTCTCTCTCTCTCTCTCTCTCTCTCTCTCTCTGTCTGTCTCCCTCTGCCCCTCTCCTGTTCACACACATGTATACATGCTCTCTTTTTCTCTCAAATAAATAAATAAATAAATACCCTTCCAGGGGTGCCTGGGTGGCACAATCAGTTGAGTATCAGACTCTTCATTTCAGATCATGACCTGATCTCAGGGTCTTGGGATTGAGCTCCACGTCAGGCTCCACACTCAGCACAAAGTCTGCTTAAATCCTTCTCTTCCTTTGCCTCTGTCCCTCCCCACTGTGTGCTCACTCTTGCTTTCTCTCTTTCTCAAATAAATAAATAAATCTTTAAAAAAAGAAAAAAAAAGAGAGACTTCCTTCGGCTGTAACATGGAAGATAGGAGGAGACTGGCCTGAGCATAGGAAGATGGGAGATGCCATCCAGGGAAGGGGTCATGAGCACAGCAGCAATTAGGGGAGGGCGTCTTGTTTCTCTGTCTGCCCTAGGAACATTGCACCCACATGCATGCACCAAAAGTATCCTAGAAAAGAATTCCCAACTGCTAACCAGAAGCCTCCAGTCAGGACACTGCTTCCCTTTCCCTGGCCCCCACTGGAAGGCGAGTGGCCCTCTGGCTTCAGAGGTGGGCTGTAACAATCTACTCTCCCCTTTAGACTTCATGGTAGCCTCAGCCTCATCAGCCAGCCTGTTTCACCCCTCAGCCCCTGGGAATCTGCAGTTAGGTACACCTCAATGGGACTCCCTCTGAGGGATGGGAGTGGCCAGGCTATCTGATAGCTTCTGGGCCACTCCAGCCTAGGACAGCCTGAGGACCAGCACATTCAGTGCCACTCTGCAGACAGAGGCATTTGTGCCTGCTCACTTTCGATGAATGGCTGTCATGTGCCAGGCACCTGTAGATGACTGTACGGGGGCCCTGCCCTCAGAGAACTGGTCTGGTGGGAGGTGAGGTCTGGTGGGAGGTGACAGCAAACAAGGGCCAATTGGCACTGATTGGTACCCTGCTCTTCATATTGTAAGTGCTCTACACCCAGGACCTCCCTCACAGTTTCTAACAAGACACTCTTAGGAGTGTTGCGGGACAGGAGAGGAGCCTGAGGGAGAGTAGTTTGAGCTCAGTTAAGAGATGAACCTTGAAAGATGCAGCAGCTTTAGGGTAGACAGTGTAGAAGGGTTTCTGGATGGAAGGAATCACCACAGCAAAGGTGCAGAGGTGAGGAAAGCCACTGACTGTGTTGGGAACAACCACACAGCCAGGTGCTGAGAACCAGGTCACAGAGGTCCTTGAGTGCCAAGCTGAGGGAGGGGCCCTCGCCCAGGGGGCAATGGGGAGGCAGTGATAGCTTCTAACTGGAACAGCATTTTAGATAAAGTTGGCAGCAGCTCAAGAGCGCAATTCAACTAACACATTGCAAGTGTCCCTTATTTGCCAGACCCTGGCCGAGGTGCTGAGAATACAAAAGGGAGTAAGACCCAGGCCTTGGCCTCCCAGGAGAAAATCAGATAATCCTCTGATTACAGCTCAGTGAGAAAAGGAAGGAGGGAAGAGGAAGAGCTATTTGGAGGCTGAGTCTCTAATGTACACCCACCAAGAGAGGGAGGAGTAGTTTTTAAGGATGGGATGCTCTGAACCTGGGGGCTAGGACAATGGGTTGCTGGTGGTGAGCTCGGAAAGGCACGGGGAACAACTGGGAGAGGGAAGCTGGGTAAGGGGAGCCAAGGAGTTTGTGGACCACATGAGCTAATGAGAAGCCAGGGAAGGGACAGTGAGGGCTGTAATACCCCCAAAGCAAATGGCAGCGCAGAGGAGGGGGTGAACAGGCAGTGGGGCGTGGAAGGGGTGGCAGGGTGGGTGGAGGGGTGGGTAGGGATGATTTTCTCCAGAACTTCTCTGGCTTAGGCCTCTTCTCCAACACAGTCTCCCATTCTTAGGTCTCCCTCAGTCAGGCATGAACCACACAAGGCCCTTTCTCTCCCCAAAGCAAACCCAAATTGACCCCTATAGTCCCCTCTCACCACGTGGAGCTGTGATCTTCTGAGAAACCTGCAAACAGCCCTGAACTGCCGCCAGTTTGCTTGCCTGAGATGAAGACATGAGTTATTTTTGACTGAGATCCAAGCCCCAGCCCTGAATTCTTTTGTCTTCCAGGAATCCCCCAGTCT